TGATTTCAGAGGTGTTCCGAAAAAGAGGTTCCTTTCTCACCATGGTTATTTGGGTGCAATTCGTCGTTTTTGGAGTCTGCGAGATATGTTCCCGTTCCCCTGCCCTCCAGAACCGGAACGGTCGCTCGCGCCGACCCCTCGAGGTCCGTGCGAACTTCCCAGGGCTTCTGAGCGACCCCAGCGCGCCACAGGAGCGTGAACGACGCTCCCCGCCGCGTCCCGCGGTGCGGCGCGGGCGGGGCGGCGGCAGTGTGGCGGTTCGGGCACGTGGGTGGGGGCCGCTTTGGCAGGGAGAGAGAGGGAGTTGGTGAATGGATGTGAATGGAGAGGTGGAAAACCTGAATGCTAGCGGCCACAAAGAAGCGTCAGATGGGATTGCAGGTGCTTCTTTTGGAAACATACGTCTACGGTGGGTTCGGATGGCAGCTGCCTGCGGTTCACGGACGTGGGTACAGATTCTGTCATCGCTGGATCATACCAGGATCACCTTTTTGGGTATCGTTTGGTTTCAATGCTCGAAAAGGTCTGATATTATAGTAAAAAAACCAGAAGCGCCTGTGAACGAGAAGGTGGTGTCCAGGGGTTTATTTCGTGCCAGCCCTCACATGTGTTTCCATGTACCAGCATGTCACAAAAGGGTGCTATCCATGGAGGTAGTCGGGGGCCCCGACCATCACATCCACGGCCCCTGGATGGGACCAAACACCACAGCACCACGTCGAACGTGACTGACTGCTTTGGACTTCGTGCCAGTCTGAGGTCTTGGTCGTAACACCGGTGATGTGTCTTGTTCCAAGGAAAACCACTGAAGAATGTGGAGGAACATGGAACATGAGGACGGAACAGCTTCGTGCAGGGTCCGAGAAAAACATGGGTTTTGACGGTGTTTCTGATTTCCTGACCACATTTCAGAGCATCACCTTGACATCCCATCTGAAATACGTGACGACGTGTCTTGCAAAATGGTCGACCTCTCTCTGAAGTCAGGATCCCCTGCAACAGCAACGGGCGGCCAGCCTTTGGGTGGGGGTCCTTTTCGGAAAAACGGACGGCGGGAAGGCGCGCGATGTAGATCCCTACAAGGTCAGGAACTATATTATACCCTACAAGTCCAAGGACCAAGTTGAACCTGGTTCTTTACCTCATTGAGTACTGGTTTTGCATCACCGGACCCAGTCAAATGAGGTCCTTGACCTGCAGGGATAATAAAGTCCTTTTTGTTTCTATCACAGGGGGTGATCTGAGAAGGTATGTGGATCCATAGGGAGAGGACACATACCTGGATCTTCCAACTACTATCCAGAATTTCTGCCTTTTGGCTTGCTTGTATGGATGAACAGGCAGAAATTCTGCATAGTTGGAAGATCCAGATATACCCTATTACAGGTCAGGAGCTGACCATGAACTGTCCTCATGAAATACTGGAGTGGATGCGTCTGACAAACACTACGAACATGAGGTGTTCAGGATCAGGTCTTCTTTAGTCAGACTGGACGGTGTAATATGGTGTCAGACTCGCATAGGCGTATGTGTGCGATCTTGAAGCGTATTGCTGCCGGTTTCCTCTGGGACCAAACACTACTGAGGTTGAAGAGGACTGTAGGACCTGAAAAATAAATAGCTCAGCTCAATAGTTTACTTGTGTTTTCACTTTTTCCCATTCCACATCTCCGTGGGGGGTCTTGTTCATTCACAGCTCACATGAGCTCACGGGTCACACATCCTTCATCGGTAAAATACGCAGCTCAGAAATGAAGCTCCGGAAATTCCTTCATGCTCCATTTGAAAGTGTGGTGTTTCACCTCGCTCTGTTCGTTCGTTCGTGGATCGCAACCCCCACGAATGTTTCGTCTGTCACCTACGAAACGGGCTCAGACGTCACGTCCGACCCGAAACCCGGTTAGGGTGGTTCGGGCGGGGGTTTGGGGGCAAACATGGGCAAACCCTAAAACCCTAAACCCACCGAACCTGAGGATGTTAGGGCCCAAGCTGTGCCCACGTTTGGGAGACTCAAAACAGTCGACCAAAAGAGCCTCCTGCCGGTCACCCTCTTCGTCTTCATCCTTGCCTCCTGGGTCCAAAGCAGTAAAAGAAGAGGATGGAATTTCGACCGCATGTTTTTTTTTCACGGGTACATGTCATGACCTTAGTGTTGTTATTTTTTCATGGGATTTTCTGCTCACCCCATGTGTGATGACTTGTGTTTTTGTTTTGCCTTTTGCCTAGTTGAAGCCATTTATATAAAGCCCACGCGTTTCAATGCGTTTCACAAGGTACTGTCCCAACCTCTTTGATTTCACCAGCACCAGTCCATGGTAACCCCACAGGTCCAAAGAGCCAGTCAAACCTAGCCCTTTACCTCCCCAACTCTTCTGAAATGAGGTCTTTGACCTGTACGGTCATCACTTCAGGAGCGAGTTAGTGTTTTCCGTAGGATTCACCCTGACGAAGTCCTCCACGTCTCGCTTTCGCACGACACCCACCAGCGTCGCGTCGCGCGGCAACGTGCGCTGCGCGTGCGCTGCGCGTCGCACGGCGTGCGCTTCGGCCGCAGATTGCTCAGCAGCTGAAGGATCTACTCGGGGTGAAGATCCCCCAGGCAGGTGATTTTTGGTGTGCGTGTGTGTTGTCTTTGCTATTTCCCTGGCGGGGGGTGATGCCCGAAGTGGATCTAAAGAGAGGATTTGGTTCATCTTTCGTCATGTTTCCACAACAGGTCCAGTAGAATGAGGTCCGTTCCTGACGTGTTTGGGGTATATAACGGTATACGGTACATATGTCCCATCCCTATGGATCCACTGCCACCGTTTCTCAGAAAGTATCTGGGCCCGACCCTGGCGCCTACATAGTCTCTAATCACCATACCTCAGGTTCGGTATGTGGATCCATAGGGTATAATAGATTATAATGGTAATCAGGTATATGGTCCCAAAATAGTAGTCCTGTAGGTATGTGGACTCCGATCCCGACATTCTGATGGAACCAGCAGCCTTTGGTTTGCTTCAGGCAGTTGAATTCGCTTCACTCAAAAACTTGTCGGTGCTCAAGTAGGAGGCCAAAGATCATTTGAAGAGACCCTCCTGGTTGCGGGGTTGGCCAAGTCCGAAGGCTAGTGAAGATTGTTGATGAATTAAACCACCCGATTTGGATCACTGAAGAATGTTATAGTTATAGTTGTATAGCCTACAGTATGGAAGGGATAAAGAGTCTTGATCGAGATGGAACAGTGTCACATTGATGCGGGGTGATGCGGGGTCGTTTGGTCGAGGATGCCTCAGGGTCTTTGGGATAATTTGAAGTAACTTCTACTTCTTCCAGAGGTAGGCAGCCGGTAGGCACCAATTCAGTTGAATACCAGTAGACATCCCAACCAATGGGAGTTTACTTGTAAAAATCAATCATAAGTAACTACGGATCCGTGGAATGCACGGCATCTCTATAGAGAAAAAGCCATGCTAGACCCATGTTCAGTTCCTCTTCGAACTGTTTCGGGCACCAATTCTGGCATCGCACCTCACAAAGATGGTTTCCCTAGGGCTCCAACCACCTCCTGAGAAGATGGTTGGGGTGGGTTTGGGGGGTCTAACCACCTTCTGAGGATATGGTTGGAGCCCCAATGTTTGTTCTTCGTCCCTTACACCGTTACACGATCCAAACTTCCGGCCCATCACCATCACGTTCACCATCCCCAGACACTCCATGTATCATATATGACAGACATGGAGTGTTTGGGATCACCGTTGGTGGAACTTCCACCGGTGGAACCCGCGGGGAACTCCGAGGACCTGCTGATCAAGCAAGAGCTGCGCCTTGGAACCGTCGTTCGGCCGGACACGCAACGGTCGCTGGAGGGCTGGCTTTTTGGAGAGGGGTGAAGGTGGTTCGTTCAGCTGGGCCTGACGTGGGGGTTCAGAACGGTTCGGGAGGAGGGGTATTGAAGAGCTTCTGTGCGAGTTCATTCGTGAGATGCTGATCTTGAGCTGGCAGAGTCTATCAGACATAGTCCCCAGCCTGGGGCGCCTGTCCTACATCCTGAGGAAGGGGTGGGTCCATCTAGCTTCTGAGGTGAATCAATTATAGAAGTTTGTTGTTTTCACTCGCTCTTCATGATGACGATTGACGCCCAGGATGGGCTCATCGCAGATAGATCTCCCTTAAAGTGACAAAGAGCCAGTTGAGCCCCGCATGCTTTTTCCTCCCAGGGATGTTGCTTTGCCAAAAGCTTGCAGCCTGTGACCTTCCTGTGTTGCGGTCAGAAGTGACCGCGATGGCCAGAAGGTGGAACCAGACAGGACAGGTACACAGCTGCCTGTGCAGGTGCTGTACGACCTGCGGTTGCGCAGGTCAGCTGCTACATTGTCTTCCAGTATACCCTTGATAACTCTTTCCTGGCAACAGTGGAGGACACTATGCTCACACAGGACGAGTCCGCAGCCATCGCCTTACATGCTCACGAGGACACCATGCTCACACGGAGGTGCGAAGACCGTCCATCACCTTGACCAGCGTCCGTCTCTTGCTCGAACCAATGGACCAGCACTGGACCAGCGCTGGACCAGCGACGGGACCAGGCGCGATTATGTGCGGCTTGGCATGAAAATCCCTGGGAAGAAGCTGAAGATGCAAGATCTTGAGACCGGTTTGTTCCACACTGCAGTACCTGCAGTCACGTTCGACGGGGTGCTATCCATGGAGGTAGTCGGGGTGCCCAGAACATCCACTCACTGGATGGGACTAAACACCACCCCGACATGTGACTGCTGGTACTTGGATCAGAATTGATCGCTCGGTGATACTGTGTGAGTATTGGGGGCCTCACGCCTCATGTAACATCAAAACAATTCGTCATCATCTATATCCCAGACACTCCATGTATGCCATATATGCCTACATTGGGGTGGTTTGGGGGGTCAATGTAGGCATATATGGCATACATGGAGTGTCTGGGTATAGTATGTTCAGTTCCGCCTTTCTATGCCGCCTAGCCCAAACGCCCAGACTTCGCATGTTCAATCAGATCGATGATGTTCACTCGAGCAAACTTGTTTCAACCAGGAGGCTATCGCCCGTCCTGGATGCACATACCGAACGATCGGTACGGTGAGGAAGGACATATACTGAAGGGTCCGGTGCCAGGGTCCGGTCCGGTGGAACCTGAGGTACGGTGAGGCCGACATGTGGATCCCTTTAAGAAATCCAAGATCTCTTCCACCTTCCAAGAGGTCTTTTTTCTGGAGGCTTTTGACTTCAAAGTCGCAGGTGGTGATCTGTTGGTTTCGGTGCTTGAGAAGCTGGCACCGATCGCTTTTTCTCCGATCCACCGAGCGCTGTGTGGAGACCGGACGGCCGTGTGGACGGATGGAACTCAGGCGTTGGAAGAAGGGCGAGTGGGTTTGTGTCCGGCGAGATGGACAACTCAGGCGGGGGACGAAAGGAGCCGAGGAAGACGCGCTTTGCCCATGTTCGGCGCGCGAATTCGGTGGGTGGTTTGAAGATCTACGGAACCGGGGTCTGCGGTTCTGTCGGTGACGGAACCGCGGTAGATGAAATAGATTGAAACAGAATATGGAGAGGCAGCGAGGCGTTGAAGATCGGTTTAGATGGTACCTTTTTGAATACATAGAATAGTTTTTCAGAACGGAGGAGCAACATACAGGTACTCACGTCTTCACTAGATATTCAGAATCCTCACCGAATAGACAAAGGGAATGCAAAACCATCTCGTTCCTGCTGTCACCTGCCCCCCAATGTGGCACTGAACAGCCTTGATACGTACCCGACCCCAAGTGGTTGCTTTCGCATCACCCGTCAACCCCCAGTTACTGACTCGTGCATCGAACTCTTCGTTCCTACTAAGCTGTGGACTCGTGACATGCCACGACTGGTCGCTTCGACCGGTCGCGTCGACTGTTCCGACGGACGATCCAAACGGGTCGGCAGGAACGGACAGCTTGGGGAGAGCGCAGGTGGACCCCACTTTGATGCTGGGTGGAAATGGATGCTGGAGAGTCTTTGACGTGGTCCGGGTCATGGGTCATGGGTAAAAAAAACAGCAAACATGGGTTGGTTTCAGCGTACTTTCATATCTTTCATACAGTCAGGTCAACATGTATGAAAAGGTGTGGGCAAAGTATATAGGAATTCTTCACTCTGGGAGGGTGAAGCCATTTCATGGCCTGTTGGCAAACATCTTGCTCGTGAGCATATAGTTATAAGCAATCTATTTGCCACTGGTGATTTTCAACACAAGCTTGTGGGTGCCATGGCCAGCCATGCCACAAGCTTGAAAAACAGAACATTTCAAGCAGAATGGCTTTGGCAGGGAGCCGCCCCCTCGGCTCCTTGTGTGGCCTACTGACTATTTGGATCTATTTAATCTATTTGGTTAAACGCACCAGTTTGTCTGAAAGCACTCCTCGGACTTCACGGTTCACATGCCTCAATAAATTGGTTTGAGGTTCCCAAGCTGAGAAGTCGGACCACCGTTCTGAACAGGACTAGAGGGTTCTTGGGTTCTTGGCGGTTCCGCGAAGGCAGTAGCTGCAGCAACCATCAGAAACACATCCGATCAGTTGAGGTGGTGGTGGTGCCAGGGGGGTCTGTCTGGGGTGGCAGTCCTTCCTGGCAGTCCCATGGCCAGGTCGTGTCTGGGGGAGGGTTCGCTACTTCGAAAGAAGCCTCCAGGTCCATCCCCTTTAGACAAGTCTCCTCCGTTTGGATGACTTCACCTTCGTTTCATCTCCTCTTTTGGACTCCTGGTGCTCCTGGTACAAAAACCGGACCCTCTGAGTGAAAGAACCTGAGTGAAACCACCTGTGACTGAGTCTCAGCTGGGTGCCACACCTCAGCTTTCTGTCCGAAAAGCTCTGGGCGCTGCTTTCAGGAGGTTCGCTTCTGTGGAGCCTGGGAGAAGATGGAATCCATCCACCGGCCACTTGGGCAAGACGCGCTGGGAGCGGTTGGGGGGACGGTTGGTCCTTGTTGAAAGTCGATGTCTTCTTTCTTTTAATCCATATAGGCTCTATATAGCGTATATAGGCGTAACAATAGGGTGGTTTATGAAATAAGCATCATCTTTGAAAGAATCATCTTAAAACAATTTGGAAGAACTTGTTCAAACAGAAGGTACCAGGACCATCCTTGCTGGGTGTCACAACCTGACTACACTACTAAGGAGTCCAGGACATCCAGACAGGAAGCTCCAGGTCCCCAGCTTTGTCTTTTTTCCACCAGACTTGGCGTTTCCGATGTGAAAAATCCTGAGCACTTCTCCTGCGCCAGTGCCGCACTGCAGGAGATACCTGAAGAAGTTTCATTCATGGGAAGAGGGTGAGGACGGAGCAACATGCGCGCCGGGCCATGAGTGGAGCTTCTATTTGATAGGGCGTATCCACTTTTCAACACTGGCAACTATGATGCGTGCGATAAGAAGTGTTTCATATTCCAGGTGATTCTATCTACTTCAAGAGGACAGAATCTGTTTTGGGGACCTGCGCTTGCACCCTTGAAGTGCCTCTTTCCATCTCATTCCCATCATCATCCCCACCTGTTTAAGTCTTTCAACACAGGGAAAACCTGCACCGCTCACGCTGAGATTTCTGCTAAACATCCATGTGACATTTTGTCAACAAAGCTTCAAACTGAAAAAACATCATGTTCACAGACCTGAACCGAAATTGCTCAACTTCAGTCAGCATTTGGCTTGATACGGCACAAGCTTTTGCTTGATAGCGCACGCTCTTCCCATGGCAAGACGCGGCTGGCAGGACTCGTGGCCAGTCAAGGAGGAATGGGAGGACAGCAGGTGGAACAGCCACTGCAAGAAAGAGCCTCCCAAACCTGACAGCCCTCCAATCCAAGCAACCAAGCAGTTGTCCAACAAAAACAACCCTCCAAAGACTGAGCTGCCAGCTGAGAAACGGAGGAGAGTGGAGGCAAACGCAAGCTCAGCCTCAGGCTCACAAGCAGACGTGAAGCTTCCATGGGATCATCGAATCGGCATGGACTTGAACAAGAAGGCCCCCCAAAAAGACTGTGCACAATTTCCTGGCTCGGTACAATTGCAGACCTATGAAAAAGGGTGAGGATTATTCCTATACCACACGGCCATCCCCTGGCGGCTTTGTGGGAGCATTGCATGTGCCCAGCTGGAATGACAACGTCGTCTATGAAGGAGAAGAACGTGAGGACGAAAATGAAGCGGAAAGATCTGCAGCTGAAGCCTTCATCAGCGATCCAGAAGTGATCGCAGCTGCCAACCGGTTGCCTCCTCCTGTCGGTTTCATAGAAAATGAACTTCGGAAACAGATGATCAGCAACAATCAGCGCCCATGTTATCGGGCAATATTCCAGAAATCCCACCAGTACTACCTCACTTACAGGGAGAGAGGCTGCGACAACGTGCTTTGGTCTGGGAATGCCTGAGTGAAAAAGAGCGGTGCTTTCAGTTTGGCCTTCAGTGACAGGTGGTCGACAAGGTGGTCAACACACGCGACTGAAAGTCGTTCCTTCTTCCCAAACCAATGCATGTTTATCTACTTGTCCTACCAACTTTCAGGGTGTTAGGGGAGTTTAGCACCAGTGATGTTGGACATAACAAACGATCATTTTCATTCATGTTCCGATTCTAACAGGCCTTCCTCCTACGCGGCCTCAGGAGAACTTGCGTGTAGGGAGAAACCTGTCTTGGGGGTTCTTCCTTAAACCTGTCAGCCGAAAACCCTATTTTTTGGGTGGAAGAGGTTGAGTTCTATTACAGCCTTAGCTCACCCGGGCGGGTGGCCGGACGGGTTCCGGCGGGTGGCCGCAGGCGTTCAGAGCGACCGTTCAGCGCCGTTCATTCGCAGGACGTGGAGATCCACGATGGTTCAGGCATGCACGGACTCGCGCGTGCACGTGCGTGGCGAGTCCGAGAGGAGGCTGTGAGGCTTTTTTGGCTGTGAGGCGTTCGTTTGGTGTTCCCCAACGAGGAGGTGAGGCTTGACAGATTGGAACAATTGTACGCACAATTCCAGCATGAAACGCTTGGATGGTGTCTATAGTGAGCCTAGTGGTGAAAACTCTGTGGCATTGAAAGCATTTGTTTGTACTCCAAGTGGGGAGTTCTCAAGCTTTCCTGGCCGTTGCAATCCCGCTGTATCAGCTGAGTATGTGCAGATGACCACTTAGCACTTCGGCGTGAGCTGAGTCGAACCTTTTTTGTGGTTTGGAAGGAAGAGTTGCTAAGTGTACTATTATCCAGACCAAGAAGTTGCCCAGTTGATTTTAGTGTGAGACAGATCTGAACGTTTGAAGCGAACAACGGGTGTTATGCTGGGCTAAAGTTGTTCGTGGGACAGTCTACTCCAAGACCAGGCACCTTTGTGACACTTCTTTCTGGAAGCAGGCACCAGGCTTGTTTTCTATGTTGATTTCTTGCAAGATCTTGGATTCCCCAAGTTTGGCAGCTCATATATAACCGTGATCTTCCGACTATGCAACATGCCCTAACTTGGCTGCCTTTTTGAGATGAAAAGACAGTAATGTTGCACAGTTGAAAGATCTAGGTCCAGGTATGAAAACCCGCCATCACTCGCTAGCGCCTTGGACGCTTCGCTCCATGCTCTCACTGTGAGGCGGCCCACCCCGAGCAGCGGTGGTGAAGGAAAACTTCGACGCCCGCGGGAAGAAGGTCGCGGGGCTCAGCGGGTGCGGAGAACTGTTTTGTGGAGCAGTTGGACAGAATGGCAGAGTGATCCTGTGGATATGGCGACATCAGAAAGAGTTTCCGATTGGTACACCTGCTTACGACATATAGAGAGTATGATGTCAATGATATCAACAGACTGGCTGATTGCTGAATCTGTTTTGGAACCCACCTGCCACCTGCGTCTGCCCTTCGTGTCCTCCGTTTCTTCTTTAGCGCACGAAGAACCATGCGTCCTTGAACCTCGCCCCAGGACCTCTCGGAACTTCTGGTGAAGGTGGCTTGGACGAGCTCCGGCAGCACGGCCGTCGCCTTCAAGCGGGTCGCAGGTCGGCGGGCGACGCATTCTTCGCATTGGCCTTGGAGGTTAAGGGGTGTCCATGAACCGCCCCTTGTGGGTCCTGGTCCAATGTATTTCTTCAGCCATGGGGCATGACCGGCCACCAGGGCGCAAGGATGAAGCACAAGGCAAGCCGGAGGAGGTGCGGAGCGGGTGCTGGGCGGGGTCAGTTGAAGCAGATTGATCCAGTAGAAGGCGGTGTTCAAACTCCACTGAGAAAGATGCAAAAATGTTCGTTTCCCAACCACCCCCCAGAGAAGAAGCAAATTTTCGTTTCTACAGGGCTCGTCAATGTTGCTGGCTTTTGCATCAGTGGTTGTGAGATGCATGCTTGTGCCGGTTTTTCGTGTGCCAGCTACGTCCACGGTCACCCACGGTATACGCTGGTCCAAAAGTTCACAAGTTAAGCGTTTTTCCCTCTTCCCATTCACTAGGGATCCAAGTAATCCGGTCCACCTATTAAAAAACACGGCCCCCCCCTAATAGGGAAATCTCGGTCGCATTTTTTAAAATTGGGGGTCCCTGAAATCAGGGGGTCCAAAATAGGGTCAGTGGATGTGCAATACTTTGTGGGCCTTGAAGTGCAGAATTCGTGGCAGGTGTAGTACTTTGTGGACCTTGAAGTGCAGATCTCGTGGCAGGCGCAGTACTGTGTTGGCCTTGAAGTGCAGATATTTTCGTGGCAGGTGCAGTACTTGGTTGACCTTGAAGTGCAGATATCGGGGCAGGTGCAGTACTTTGTGGAGCTTGAAGTGCAGATTTCGTGGCAGGTGCAGTACTTTGTTGACCTTGAAGTGCAGATTTCGTGGCAGGTGCAGTACTGTCTTGACCTTGAAGTGCAGAATTCGTGGCAGGTGTAGTACTTTGTGGACCTTGAAGTGCAGATCTCGTGGCAGGCGTAGTACTGTGTTGACCTTGAAGTGCAGATTTCGTGGCAGGTGCAGTACATTGTGGACCTTGAAGTGCAGATTTCGTGGCAGTTGCAGTACTTGGTTGACCTTGAAGTGCAGATTTCGTGGCAGGTGCAGTACTTTGTGGACCTTGAAACAATGAACAGGGTGGACAGAAGGGGTGGAAAGACCGGGCTGTGAGAGGCCTTGTTGGAGGCTTTTCAGGCCGGACACCAGCAGTGACAGACCTGGGAGACAAATGAATAGAAATGCTGCATGGCCAGCGGAAAAGGGCGGACACCAGCAGTGACAGACCTGGGAGACAAATGAATCGAAATGCTACATGGCCAGCGGACAAGGGCGGACACCAGCAGTGACAGAGCTGGGAGACAAATGAATAGAAATGCTGACAGAAAGGGCGGACACATCTTAAGAAAGAATTGAGAACCCCTAACAGTAAACTGTTTCGGGAAAAAACTAAGCAAAATCCTACTAATTCATGAAACGCAAAAGCTAAGTGTGGAGTCAGGCCTGTCGGCGAGGTGGGATAGGTGCTGGTAGAGTCGGAGCTGAGCCAGATCCCATGCACCTCCACCGCCATCGTGAGGGATGGGACCTCGTCTCTGCAGTGTGGAGCTGACCTCCACAGCAACCACTGGTCCTGGTGGAGAAATGGGAAAGGATTTCAACTTCATGAAACGCAAAAGCTATGTTTTTGGTTCGAAAAGCCTGGACTCAGGCCTGTCGATGAGGTGAGCCAGCTCTTGCAAGAGCCGAAGCTGGCTGAGATCTCCTAGAGTCCTAGAGCCGCTTCTGCAGACAGTGGGGCCGGTGGCTTTCGCCAGCCCCCTGTCTTGTTCAAGAGACCTGGTGCAAGACCGGTGCCTCTTGGTACACTCAGCCTCTTGGTTCAAGAGTTGAGAACTTTTCAGAATCCCATGCGCCTCCAGCGCCACCGCCCATCCCGAGGGATGGGACCACGTCTCTGCAATGACCAAGGGACGGGGTGGAGCTGACCTCCACAGCAACCACTGACTCCATAACATGGTCCTAGTGGAGAAATGGGAAAGGATTTAGACATTTATAAAAAAGAATTGAGCAAAATCCTACTAATTCATGAAACGCAGAAGCTATGTTTTTGGTTCAAATATAGAAAAGCCTGGACTCAGGCCTGTCGATGAGGTGAGCCAGCTCTTGCAAGAGCCGAAGCTGGCTGAGATCTCCTAGAGCCGCTTCTGCAGACGGTGGGGCGGTGGCTTTCGCCAGCCACCTGTCTTATTCACCTGGTGCAAGACTGGTGCGTCTTGGTACACTCAGCCTCTTGTTTCAAGAGTTGAGAACCCTTTCAGAATCCCATGCACCTCCAGCGCCACCGCCCATCCCGACATCTCTGCAGTGACCAAGAGACGGGATGGAGCTGACCTCACAGCAACCACTCACTCCACAACATGGTCCTAGTGGAGAAATGGGAAAGGATTTAGACCTTCTGTTGTCCGCTGGCCATGTAGCATTTCTATTCATTTGTCTCCCAGGTCTGTCGCTGCTGGTGTCCGCCCTTTTCCGCTGGCCATGCAGCATTTCTATATTCATTTGTCTCCCAGGTCTGTCACTGCTGGTGTCCGCCCTTTTCCGCTGGCCACGCAGCATTTCTATTCATTTGTCTCCCAGGTGTGTCAGTGCTGGTGTCCGCCCTTTTCCGCTGGTGTCTCCTTTCTGTCTCCCTTTGTCTCCGGTCTTGTTTCCCTTCTTGTTGGTCAGTGTGTCAGTCTTGTCTCCCTCTGTTTCCTTGTTGTCTCTCTTCTTGTTGGTCATTGTGTCTGTCTTGTCTCCCTTTTTTCCTTTCGTCTGCCTTCTTGTCTCTCTTCATTGTGTCCGCCTTGTCTCCCTTCTTGTCTCCCTTTGTCTCCACTCTTGTCTCACTTCTTGCACTGTGTCCGTCTTGTCTCCCTTCTGTTCCCTTCTTGTCTCCCTTGTTGTCTCCCTTCTTGTTGGTCATTGTGTGAGTGTACCAAGAGGCACCGGTCTTGCGCCAGGTCTCTTGAACAAGACAGGGGGGCTGGCGAAAGCCACCGGCCCCACCGTCTGCAGAAGCGGCTCTAGGAGATCTCAGCCAGCTTCGGCTCTTGCAAGAGCTGGCTCACCTCATCGACAGGCCTGAGTCCAGGCTTTTCGAACCAAAAACATAGCTTTTGCGTTTCATGAATTAGTAGGATTTGGCTTAGTTTCTTTACAAATGTCTAAATCCTTTCCCATTTCTCCACCAGGACCATGTTATGAAGTGGTTGCTGTGGAGGTCAGCTCCACATTGCAGAGACCAGGTCCCATCCCTCACGATGGGCGGTGGCGCTGGAGGTGCATGGGGTCTGGCTCAGCTCCGACTCTATCAGCGCCTATCCCACCTCGCCGACAGGCCTGACTCCACACTTAGCTTTTGCGTTTCATGAATTAGTAGGATTTTGCTTAGATTGTTTAATTTTAAAACACACTTTACATTTTTTAACTAAACATTTGAAGTTTTTGCGCGATTTGTTGAATCAATAAAATTCCAGATGTTATAAGGGAAGGAACATCACAAAATAATGTGAAATGTTGTGCTTAACGTTTTAAAACTTGATATCCATTACGATGGTTTTGAGTCACAAACAAAACCATTCAAAAAGTAAAACGGTTCATAAACAAGAATCAACAATCATCAGCTTTTCATATAAAAATAGAGAAAAACACAGTAAGTTCAAAAACGCAAAGGTTTGATTTTAATTCACAATTCAAAACAAAAAATAAAAGAGCATTCAAAAAATCGACCAAAACAAAACAATTCTTCGGCCGTCTTCGTGACTCTCAAGACTTGGGTCTTTGGTCCATCCACTTGGGCACCACGCGCGAGATGGGTCCGCGCACAAGTTTTCTCTCGTTTCGTGCTTGGTGCCCAAGTGGGTGGACGCATGGTTTCTCACATTTCGCGTGTGGTGCCCAAGTGGGTGGACCCAAGTTTTCTCTCGTTTCGCGCTTGGCGCCCATGTGGGTGGACACAACTTTTCCTCATGGACCCAACTCGCGTTTACCCATTTGGGCACCAAACGCAAAATGTGAGCAAACTTGGGTCCACCCACTTGGGCACCACGCGCGAAATCTGAGAAAACTTTTGTGTCCACCCACATGGCCACCAAGCGCGAAGTGAGAAGACTTGGGTCCTCCCACTTGGGCACCGCGCGCGAAGTGAGAAGACTTGGGTTCACCCACATGGGCACCACACAACAATCACGGATGACATGCTATGAACATTTTGGCATTTGAGTGCTTGTGATTTTGGTGAATGCGAGCACGGAATGGCAGAGCAAGACATGCCCGTCATTCACCAGCAGGTATAGAGCAATCAGATCATTGTTCAATTCCAGCTATTTGTCACGAAAGGTAGCCTGGTATGGACTACCTTGAGTTTGCTTTGCGAAGCAAAAGGACTAGCTTGAGAGCCCGCTCGCGACCAAAGATTGGTAGGTCAATGTCTAACACCCCCCCTTCCCATGTGATGACTCATTGATAAATCAATTGTTTTGGTCCGCCCCCTCGGCAGCACCACCAGCATTATCGAGGCGCCATAAGGTGAAGTCATGCGCTAGCAGTCACATTTTCGCCCAAGAGCTTTGAGGAGTACCTTGGAGCAAGTACAACCTATAGTATCCCAAGGAGGTACTTGGGATTTGGCTTGTTTTTTGTTCTTGGAGCCCCCTATAGTTTTGCCTAATTTTGGAGGCCGAGGTGGCACCCCCTCGAGCGCAGGCGGGGCCGTGGGTGTGCCTTTGCAGGGGTTTGCCACGCGTGGTCCGCTAGAAAGTGAGGGAAACGGTGGATTTGCTGTTTTTTGCTCAACTTTGAAGTTGATGTTTGATGAATCCACAGACTGATAGATGTATTTGTGTTGCTTAAACCTTTTGAAACACTTGGTTGTGTAGCAGCTTAGAAGGGATGGTCATCCATTCACAATGGAAGCGTCCATAATTGACACAGCCGCGAAACCTGAGGGTGATTGGGCCAAGGGACACCCACAAAGGTAGTAGTGGTGGTAGTAAGAGTGGTGGTAGTAGCACTGCTACAGTAGCAGTGGCAGTGGCAGTAGTAGTAGTATTAGTAGTGGTAGTAGTAGTAGTGGTCGTCGTAGTGGTGGTGGTGGTCGTAGTAGTAGTCGTAGTCGAATAGTAGTAGTAGTAGTAGTAGTAGCAGTAGTGGTAGTAGTAGTAGTGGTAGTGGTAGTAGTAGTAGTAGTATAATAGTGGTAGTGGTAGTCGTAGTGGAGTAGCGGTGGCAGTAGTCGTAGTAGTCGTAGTAGTAGTAGTGGTGGTAGTAGTAGTAGTGGTAGTAGTAGTAGTGGTAGTGGTAGTAGTAGTAGTAGTAGTAGTAGTAGTAGTTGTAGTGGTAGTGGTAGTGGAGTAGCGGTGGTAGTAGTCGTAGTAGTCGTAGTAGTAGTAGTGGTGGTAGTAGTAGTAGCAGTAATAGTAGTAGTAGTAGAGCAGTAGTAGTAGTAGTAGTAGTAGTAGTAGTAGTGGTAGTAGTAGTGGAAGTGGTAGTGGTAGTGGTAGTAGTAGTAGTGGTAGTAGTAGTATAATAGTTGTAGTGGTAGTGGTAGTGGAGTAGTGGTGGTAGTAGTCGTAGTAGTCGTAGTAGTAGTAGTAGTGGTAGTAGTAGTAATAGTAGTAGTAGTATTATAGTGGTAGTAGTAGCAGTGGCAGTAGTATAGTAGTAGTGGTAGTAGTAGTAGTAGTCGTAGTGGTAGTGGTCGTAGTAGCAGTAGTAGTAGTAGTTGTTGTTGTTGTTGTGGTTGTAGTATAGTAGTAGTAGTAGTAGTAGTAGTAGTAGTAGTAGTAGTAGTAGTAGTAGTAGTAGTAGTTAGTAGCAGTAGTAGTAGTTGTTGTAGTATAGTAGTAGTAGTAGTCGTCGTAGTAGTCGTCGTAGTGGTTGTAGTTGTCATCGTAGTGGTAGTGGTAGTGGTAGTGGTAGTGGTAGTGGTAGTGGTAGTGGTAGTAGTAGTAGTAGTAGTAGTAGTAGTAGTAGTAGTAAGTAGTAGTAGTACTAGTAGTACTAGTAGTACTAGTAGTAGTAGTAGTAGTAGTAGTAGTACTAGTACTAGTAGTACTAGTAGTACTAGTAGTACTAGTAGTACTAGTAGTAGTAGTCGTCGTCGTAGTAGTAGTAGTAGTCGTAGTAGTAGTCGTAGTAGTAGTCGTAGTAGTAGTAGTAGTAGTCGTCGTCGTAGTAGTAGTAGTAGCAGGTGGTGGTGGTGGTTTCGGGCCCAGCTTCGGGCGCCATGTCCAGACAGGTGGGTCACGACGTTGCAGGCGAAGCGCCGAGCGGCTGTGATCGAAGTGGTCGACGACGACGGCGTCGAGAGCGGTGGCGGTGCCGCGGAAAACGTGGTGAAAAGAACACGTTTTGCGGTGCCGAGGTGGGTGTAGTGGGTGCTAGGGGTGTTAGGGAGCTAAGGGAGTCAGTGATAGGGATATGGAGAACAGGCTATTGGAGAACTTCGAGGATGAAACCCAAGTGTTCGGTTTGAGCAGGGTGAGACTTGGAGGAGGAAAACCTAGTCTCTTGATTGAAAAATGGGAATACAGCATACATATTCTGGTATGCACATCCTCTGGCACAAATGATCAAAAACCGGGAGCCGGGTCCAGTCATCCTAGACGTTCATGGCGATGACATGGCGGGACATGTCATGGTGAGATCACGGCAGTTGAGATAACGTGACCCGGCCCGGTGACCCTGTGTGGCCTGGCCAACTGTGGTGAGCTGGAAGGTCCTCGGGAAGAATACTGGTAGGTCTTGCAGTGGAGACGAAAAGGCTACGCTGCTTGAGGGAGAGTAGTACAGCTCAATCAGACATCCACAGTGGGAGGAGTGCTGCTTGGGACAATAAGGAGCGCTAAATCCAGTGCCCTCAAACTTGAAGGCCAGGACTTAATTGAACATCGACTGCAACTGAAAGCAGTTTTGGGCCTGGAATTCCTCTACCTTTATTCGCAGCCATATATAGGCAATGTGGACACATATGGAGACATTCCCTTTGCGCACCAGTCCTGCCAGGCTTTCTACATGTGGTGACATGTCGATGGTTGGGAACATGCCCATGTCGATGTTGGCAGAAAGGCGTATGCATATGGAGGTGCACTGAAAACCGAAGGTTTAGATGTCAATTTCAGTGAAAAAGACGTCGACACTTTAGAAGTCGATCATACGCGACTTGGATCGACTTGGTATATGGTTCCAGAACTCAGCCCGAAGATGGGGAAGTTGCTTGTGTCGGACACCCCCGCAGGGCCCCCGCATCAGCACGCGCTATAGTCGCCAGAACCCCAAACCCGCCATGACGCGACGCCACTGCGATGCAGTGACGCGACTGCGAGTGGCTTCCTTCAACATCCGAATGGAAACCAGTGAGCCTGACCCAATGGACCGCGTTTGGAGGGTGGGGGAAGTGGGGAAGAAGTGGTGCACCCTGGAAGTTGTAGAGTGGAGGAAGCAGGTTGGACTAGAAGTGCCCAGTGACCCCAAACATGCAATTGTTTGACTGCTGGAATTCTGACAACCTTTACGCCTTTGGCAGTCCAAGTCTTGTGACATCTTGTTCTGTTGTGCACGCCAAGTCACTCGCCATGGACGTGTACTTTCCTAATTTTTTCTTTGTACCTTAGCTTGTCCCACATGGATTGTTCTTTGCGAGTTTTCTTGACGATGTCAACCATTTCTGGTTCTTGACAACAGATGTTGGCGGTAGAGTTCCAGTGGGTCCCCTGAAACCGCGAGATGGGTCGAGCCGCCCCTGAAACAAAGCGGGATGAGCGTTTGGAGCCGTGATGTGGAGGGTCAGCGTTTGGAGTGAAACACCCTGAAACTGAGGATTGGGCTGTGGGATCTATAGGGCATGGACATGGGTGTTGATTGTTAAACATAGACACGTTCCGTGTCTGGGACTGGTATGTTTACCGATCAGGCCAGGGGTGGTTGAACAATGGATGAATCAAAAGGGGGGCAAACTATTCAATACAGCAAAGGGCATCGCGGACCCGAACGGAACAAGGACGAACCCGAACGGAGCGGCATCGGGCCCGAACGGAGCAAGAAGCGAATGCTTCACGATCGGTATGGTCCAGAGAATGTCCTTTCCTGCAGGACAACTGGAGCGAGCGAAAACGTGCAGTGCTGACGGCACTCGTTGATTCAGGTGCTGACATTCTTGGCTTGCAAGAAGTGAAGCCAGATCAACTGCAATTTCTGGTTTCTTCTCTTCAATCACATGGATATCAGCACGTCGGTGTGGGTCGAGGGAAGGATGGCGATGATGAAGCCAGCCCAATTTTCTTCAAGGAGGATGTCTTTGATCTTCTGAAACATGACTCTAATCTGCCCAGTTTAGATAATGTTTCAACTCTTTGGTTTCAAAAGAACCACCTCCAAAAAGACTGAATATATTTGAAAAAGAAACATATGCAAACATACATGTAGCACTTAGAGTATTTGTATGTTTGTTTTATTATGCGTTCTTGTTTCAAAGTTTTACTTTTTCTTGTGTTTGATTCCTTTGGATTCCCAAAGCTTTGAAACACTCTGGCCAGAGTTGTGTAGAATGGTACAAACCTGTCCCATTACCAGTCAGTAAAGGATTATCACTCTTTTTGAGACGGCAACATCCTGCAACCTAACCATCATCCACTTAAACCTGGTAATGGGATAAGACGAGCATCCGTTGCAATGAGAATATCACACGTTTCTCGCTGCTCAGGACCAGCGCTGGTTGTGTGAGACTCCTTCCGTCCCTGGATCGAAGCTGCTGGATGCTGGGTGTCCTCGAATCGTGACGGCGGCGCTGCTGGAAACCAAAGCCTCCCAGGAACGGTTCTTTGCCTTCTGTGGCTTTGAAAAAAACAACACGCATCGGCATCGGCATCGGCATCTGTGGGCCTTTCCGACCGAAAACACGTTCAGAACAAAACACACATGAAAAAGAGATGAGAAGAACATGGTTGAAAGGCAATCTGTGTGTTCTGTTTGAGGAGATACAGGAGCTTTGAGGTTTCAATCGCATGTCCAACATGTTTTTTTTGGGCAGAGACCATTAGAAGGAGATGCGACTGGACTTTTCGGGTGCCAAGCTGTAGAGGCACTCTGATCAAGACTTCAGAATTCTTCACCACAGTTTTTCCGCAAAGTGCTTTCGCACAAGGAAACTGATGACACCAAGTTGTTCCATCCGGGAATCGAAGACACGTTGAAACCATTTGAAACCAGAACATGATACACTTTGGCTGTCTTCAGCACCCTATCACGTGTTCTCACCCTATCACGTGTTCTCGAGGTTGCCATTTGGACCACCGGGGCATGGATCGTGCGGCTTTGCCCTTCTCCGCTGGGCTTCAGATCCAAGCAAAGCAGGCAGAGATCTTGCTGGACCAGGTGCTGGACCCAAAACTGTCAGCTGTCCTGACCGTCCTGGCTTGTTAAGCGCCCGTCAGTTGGTGATTTACCGCATATGAACTTCTTTCGAAGGCCATTCGTTGGGTTCCAGAGGTTCTTCCTTTGACTCGTGTGGCTCGTGAGGTGTTTTTCCTTTGGGTTCACTGCTCCCTGGACTGCCCAATCCCAACCAGAAACAGTTCTGCTTGTTCCGGCAAAGTTGATCCTTTTGCATTCATTCTTGTGATTTGTGTGTGGAAACATCCCTAGCTTGTGTTTCTGTTTGGGAAAGGGTTTTCCCATATCGTCTCAAGACGGGTTTGAGTCGAAACTTCGTGCAAAGCAGCAGGTCGATGCTTTTTGCGATGTGTCGTCCAGCACCTCAGAGCTGGGCGTCGCCGTGGCGCCGCGGGTGATTTTGGGTGATTTCAATTCCTGGCGGAATGCAGGAGCTCATCTGGTGCTGTCTCAACGAGGATACCAGGACTCGCCCAGAAAATCGAGAGAGTTTAAACTGTTATCGTCTATAGTCCATGAACACAATTCCTTTGGAATCCTTTTGAGAGTTCATCATTTCAATCAAAGTGAGTGCCAGTTCCAACACCCCCCTCTTGCCCCTCCCTCCCTTTCCCCCGATCTCCCTTGCCTCTCCTTCAGGAAGCCTCCAGCGACTCGTCAAAAAGCTGGATCGATGGACAGCCCACCTTCACAGGCTTCCGCTCGGGACCGCTTTGGCGACGACTCCTGGAGAGGTTCCTGAGCGTTCAGATCGACTGGATCTTCGCTAAGGGCCACGTCCCCTGGAAGAAACAACCAGCAGTCACAAAGGGGTGCCGAACTTGGAGGATAAGGGTTCCCATCAAGCCATCCCTTGGTGACTCCTGGAAGACAAAAAGAAACCATGGGTGGTGGTTTCAGATATGTTCAAACTTGACTCGGGATGATTGAACCCACTGACTCATGTTTTTCAAAGGAGTTGAAACCACCAACCAGATGTCGGAACGTCAACACGTCGAGCGGACCGTAGTAGAATGGTCCGGACCGTGCGCGCCCTATTTTTGTGGGGGTAGGTCCAAGGTTTGTTTGGGCCCAGCTGAATGGATTCATGGGTCGGTGTTGTGTTTCCCGACTTGCCAGGTGAGGGTGGTTGTTTGATTTTATCAGAGATGTCCTCCTCCTCCTCCTGCTCCTCCGCCGGTCCTCAACTGCAAGTGCGGGATCACGATTGGCACCGCCGGACCTCCACCTCAAGTGCTGGATCGCAGTGGGCACTGCCGGGCCTCAACCGCCAGATAGAATGCCAGAATGTATGCTAGATAGAATGCCAGATCGCCAAAATGCAGGCCAGATAGAATGTCAGGGTATATTGCAGATTTGAGGTTGCAATTTATGGCAAATAGAACTATGATATTTTTTTGTAAAATATGCTAGATAGAATAGTATATATGCTAGATAGAGTGTCAGCAATTATGCAAGATACGGCGCCAGAATGTATTCCAGATAGAGCGTGGGAATGCCAGATAAGATGCCAGAACGTTTGCTAGAATCTATGCCCGATAGAATGTCAGAATACATGCCCGATAGATGTCACGAAAGGTAGCTTGAGCTACCTGAGTTCTCCTTGCTTTAGCAAAAATGTATTACAATCAGGAGTTGGGATTGTGCATTGAATTTGGTCCTGTAAGAGTTGATTCTGTTCGTCGGGGGGGGGGGGCCCCCCCCCCGTGGCAGGGAATAATTGGTATAATGCGATCGAACTCTCTTGGATGATTCTTGCAAGGATGTTGAATGTGTGGCTACTGCTACTTGCTTCATTTTCCTTTTTGTGAACAAAAGGAGTTGACCCAGCCAATCCTTCTACTTCAACAAAAACAAATCTGTTGCATACTCCTCCCTTTGTTGGCTTGCTGCACGGGGCGTCACCTGCCTGCTGCTTCTGCCGATGTTGCGGATTGACGAAGGATCATACAGTCCAGTGTGTTTATTTGTCTTCTTGCTTCGGAATCATAAAGCTGGTCGGGTGCGTGCAGGAGACAAATGGCCAGTATGTCTCTGATCTTGCTTTTTGCTTCTGCTTGGCAGAGCCTATCCCTCATCTCCTGTACCTCCAAAGTCTTGAAGGATGACTGCCTGAAGGAACCACAGCTACCTCCTTTTCTTGCATCTGTTTTCCAATTCTTGGGTGGGTCGAAGGATCAGGGCTGGAAGGGCCCCAGGGTTGCTACGCGGACGGGTCGTATACACCGATGGTAAGGAGCCACAACCTGCACCGCAAGGTCATCATCTTTCATTATGGTGTTTCGGGTGGAGAAGGAGACCGAAACTTGTATGAAGAATTTAGGCTGCGTGGTTGGAGTGTCCACCAAGTTCCATGCGCTCTTTTGCCTTCTTGCGTTGGTGTTTGCTGCTGGGGCGGACAGGTGGCCAATTGCTTGTTGAAAAAGACGTTGTTTCCACGTTCCTCTCTTTTCATCTCTTGAAATTTTCTTGTTGTACGCAAATACAAGTGGAAGGCTGGCTCGACTCTACTCTAGCCGCCGGCTAAAAGGGCGCAGGTGAAGTACTCGTCATCTTCTCTAATTGTGAGCCGTTCTGGACGACTACCTGTCACCTCTCTTCTTACCGTGCGTTGAAGGGCTGCACAAGGCTAGTCTCATCCTCTCTTGTTGCAGCTCTAAAACTTTCCGTGGAAGGGTTGCTACTTCAAGGAACCAACAGGTGGCTATTTCTCATCTTCTCTTGTTGCATCTGTCCTCCAAGCGTGGGTGAAAGGATTGTTCGTTCAAGGCAGCAAGGGGTTGCAACCTCTCACCTTCATGGTGCATTTGTCCTCCAAGTTTGGGTGGAGGGGTTGCTGCTTCAAGGGGCCAAAAGAGTCTCTCGCTGCATCTTCTTCCAAAGCAGCTAAGGGTTCTCTGCACTATTGTATTGCTATATACTGGAGTGGTCAGGTGGCCAATTGTTTTTTGAAAGGAACCGAAGGGATGTTGTTTCCACGTTCTTCTTCTCTTCTCTCGTGTTTTGAAATTCTCTTGTTGGTGGAAGCGTGGCTCGACTCTACCCTAGGCACCGGCTACGAGGGCGTAAGTGAAGTATCTGTCATCTTCCCCATCTCCCTCTGAACCTTTCCGGTTAATCCGTGTTATTTTGTCTTCTTGAACCACCTTCCCAAAGCTTAATGGGCGCGTTAACGGACTGCAAGGCTAGTGTCTTCCATTCTCGCTTCTTGGCTGGTATCTCTTATCTTGCCTTCTTCCTTCTGCGCCCCAGTCTCCCAGAGGTTACTCTCATCCTTCCTTGCTGCACTCCAAAGCTTTCTGTGGAAGGGTTGCTACTAGAGGGTGACTTTGTGGGTGAAAGGGTTACTGTCCAAGGGGGCAAGGGGGTGCCACCCCTCACCTTCTCTTGGCGCATCTGTCCTCCAAGGCTTGGGTGGAGGGCTCGCTGCTTCAAGGGAAGATGGGGTCTCTTGCTGCATCTCTCTTCCAAAGCAGCTAAGGCTTCTCTGAACTATTGTCTTGCTACTGTGGCTAATTGTTTTTGAAGGGACGGTTTTCTCCCAAAGCTGCTAAGGGCTCTCCAAACTATTGTCTTGCTACTGGAGGGAACCGAAGGGAAGCTGGCACGTTCTTCCATTTTCCTATCCGTCTTGAAATTCTCTTGTTAGTGGAACCTTGACCGACTCTACCCTAGGCACCGGCTAAGAGGGCGCAGGTGAAGTATCCGTCATCTCCTCCACCCCCCTCTGAACCTTTCCAAATTACTACCTGTCATCTTCTCTTCTTGAACCTCCTTACCAAAGCTTAATGGGAGGAACTTCACGTTAAGGGGCTACAACATTCTCGCTTGTGGTCAGTATATCTCTTATCTTGCCTTCTTCCTTCTGTCTCCCCAAAACGTTCTGTGGCAGGGTTGCTACTTCAAGGAACCAGAGGGTTGCTTTTCTCTTGTTGCAACTGCCCTCCAAAACGTGGGTGAAAGGGTTACAGTACTTGTTCAGGGAGCAAGGGGTTGCCACCTCTCACCTTCTCTTGGTGCATTTGTCCTCCAAGTTTGGGTGGCTGCTAAGGGTTCTTCGAACTATCGTCTTGCGATTGGAGTGGCCAATGGTTTTTGTGGGTTGGCGGAAGCGTGACTCGACTCTACCCTAGGCACCGGCTAAGAGAGTCCGTCATCTTCTCTACCTCTGATTCTCTTCAGGTTGCTACCTGTCATCTTCTCTTCTTTAACCTCCTTCCCAAAGCTTAATGGGAGGAACTGCTCGTTGAGGGGCTATAGAAGGCTAGTGTGTCTCCCATTCTCACTTCTTGGCTGGAGTGGCCAGTATATCGCTTATCTTGTTCTTCCTTCTGTTTCCCAGTCTCCCAGAGGTTATCTCGCATCGTCTCTTGCTGCGTCTCCAAAACTTTCTGCGGAAGGGCTGCTACGTCAAGCAACCCAAGCGTTGCTATCCCTCACCTTCTCTTGTTGCACCTGTCCTCCAGAGCTTGGGTGGTTGAAGGGCTGCTGCTTCAGGGGACAAAGGGTTAGTATATATATATATATATAGCTGTCATCTTGCCTTCTTCCAACGGAGGCGCGTCAGCCTCCCGAGGCCAGCAAGGTCAATGCTTGTTTAATGTAAATGGTTCATTACATGAAAACATATGTGTATGTATACATATATTGACATGATGTCTACATGTAAAACAGAAACAGTGATCATATCTATTTGCTCAGACTTTACTTATACGTTTGTGCTTCCCAGCCCCAATCCAGAAACAGACTAAAGTTAGAGCTAGTTTATTTAACTTGATAACTTTATTCTTTTGCAAGAGTTGATCAAATGGCCAAAAAAAGGGTTGAAAAGGAACCACGTTGAATTGATTGGGTTAATTTATTTGGTAACAAAACTAAAATTTATAGTTAAATATGTTAAAAGAAGAACTTGTTTTTTTGAATCTATTTTGCTTAGCTTAGTTGAATAATATGCTTTTTTTATGCGTTAAATAGAAGCATTTTCCAAGCCATACCCTGCAATGAAGCAACGTCAAAAAAAAAGCAAGGCGTTGGCATAGCCAAGAGGGAATGAACCAATGATATAAAATTATCAGTTCATGGCTGCATTAAAGAAACTCCTTGTTCAAGCGTCAACCATGTCCGTCAAACGTAGCAACTTATTACCACACCCTATTGTTTGTAGAGAAAAAGTTCATACCATCGGCATCGTAAACCACGTCAAAGAGTCCCAGAATTCTTCCATAGGACACCTATCGGCTGCACCTAGCTTGTCTACAATATCAAAGTCCATACACGACATAACATTAACGAAAAGATTTTGGGCAAGAGGGGCGCCCATCCTATTCCTGTCCTGCACATTGCTTCCAATTGTCAGTACATCACAAAGTACCATTCACAACAAAATGTTCTTTGTAACAGTCTCCAATAACTTCACAGAAGTGCAAACTGACCCCCATCCGTTTTAATACCAAGATAAGCTTATCATTTTGAATTTATCAGGCCAAACAAGTAAGACCACCAAAATGACTCGACCAAACAAGTAAGGTGAACCCTTAGATGCAGGATAGTTTGGGTTCTGCAGACACATATATGACGTGGGATGTTGAATTTCCAAGGCGAAGACCCTGTTGAGCTTTCGCTATATTGTCTTCGCCCGGCGTCAGCTGGCCAGGTTGTTTATGCTTTTTGGTTGCCTTCAACGCCGATTCCAATTCATCCAGTCTACAAAGACATTCATCTGCGTTTTTCCCGTCGCAAATGCCAGAACTGTCAGGCGCGCCAGCTGCAGAGTCATTTTTCTAGTGCTTCATCTCAAGATATTTTGCGATAGTTTGCGCTCGTTCTGTTGATTTTCCGTTGATTGCTTTGAGATAAACCCCGTCTCTTTGAGAGACAGCTTCCGTGCAAGACTTCCTTGGCCACCTTCTTGGCTCGTTCTCGGAGTTGAGTACTCCAATTATATCTGCGCACGGTGCAATTAATTCTTCGTTCCTTCAAAACTCTTGCACGTCTACAGTGCAAATAGAAAGTCTCTTCTTGACTCACGCGACTCCGAGATTTCGTCGTCAAACCTGGAAAGGGTTCTGTTCCGGGGCGCCTTTGAGAAGGCTGGTGAGACCTGAGCTCCTTGCCTCCTTTGGCTGCTGCCACAAAGCACTCCGTGGCTTTTCTGTGTCTTTCTTGAGCTCTTCGTCGTTTTGTCTTTCATCCAGTCTTGCTGCTGCAAACTTCATCGCGTAAGGGTATCTGCTTTATGTGGGATATCTGGTGTGATCTTTGTGGGCCGCTTTCCATTCCACGTGTCAGTAGTGCTTGAGGATTTCAATCTGACGCTTGTTTGTAACGATTGCAACGACGCCTCTGTCTTTGTCATATGTGGCCTTTGCTGTAACTTTCCTCGAATTTGAGGTCGTAGAGCTGCTTGTCAGTAGTTCGGCGTGAGAGCTGTGTTGCGCCAGTATAGCCTATGGCTTGCGTGAGGCTCATGTTGATCGCCAGGTCTGCTTTGGTGATGACTAGCTTGCGCTATCTTCCCTTCCAATGCTGTAGGCGGTGTTCCTGGTAGGCCCAGTAGTGTAGAGTGTAGAGACGAGTTTGTGGAGAAGCTTGTGCAAACAATTTTAAATTTGCAAATTCAATATGCGACCCGACTTTTATAAATTAGAACAGTAGATACAATACTTTAAATGCAAGCCGGTATTATTAGAAGCTTGAGCACGCTTAAGTTTTGAATAAATCATATAGGTTGAATTTAAATAGTTTCTCTTGATGCGGGCCCTCACAAATCCAGGTATCAATTCTACAATTAATGATTGTAATGTATAAATTCTATATAAACTAATAGTAAAATATTTTAATTTGCGCCCTGAGTAAGAAAACTAATGTGTGTAATTTTTTAATTGGGAACTTCACAAACCTAGGTATCAATTTTTTGTTGAACGTATTTTTTTTATGTAAATCATTGAGTTCCTTAAATAACATAAATATGCGCCCTTATGAAAAATATTCCGGTTGTATTAAATATGTAATTTGTGTAATAAAAATTAAACAAGTTAAATATACGCCCTTATTAAAAGATTCAATTTATTTTGTTTACTCAATTTAGTTAATTTAGTTAAATACGTGCCCTCTTAAAGAATGTATGTTTTTTCATTTAAGTCGGATCTTCGTAAATCTAGGTAACAGTTAAGATGTTTAATTTATCTAACGTATTGAAATTGTTTAGTCTATGTAAGTGTTTAATTCGAGTCTTCGTAAATCTACTAATTTTAATCATATATAAATCTACAATTTAAAATGCACTCTTATTGAAAAACATTTAGATTACTCTATTTATTCCATCGTGTTAATTTACTTCATGCGGCGTCCCGCAAACCTAGATATCGTGTAAATACGTGGTTCGCCAAATTTGTTTAATTCAGGTACTTGTAAATTCATGTATCAGTCTACTATACTTATCAAAGTTACTTAATTCATTTAACTACTGTAATATACTAAATATGTGCCCTTACTAAGCGTGTATACGCTCTCAAAAAATGGACAAATTATGTAATCTACGTTCTTTAGTTTAATTAACTTATGATATATATATGTATATGTTTGAACAATGTTACTTAACCTATTTAATTCGAGTCTTGGCAAATACAATTATCAAGCTATTAATTAAATAAATTGAGAATTCGCCCTTATTCAAAATATTTAGTTAATTTAATTTATGTAATTTATTTAATTCGAGCCTTTGCAAATTCAGGTATCAATTTAATATTTAATTTATTTAATTTATTTTATTTATTTAATTCATTGAATTAATTAAATAAATTAAATATTCGCCCTTATTAAAAATATTTAATTTATTTAATTTATTTAATTCATTTAATTAATTAAATAAATTACATATTCGCCCTTATTAAAAATATTTAATTTATTTAATTTATTTAATTCAATTAATTAATTAAATTAATTAAATATTCACCCTTATTAAAAAAATAAGCTATTTAATTTATTTACTTCATTTAGTTATATTGAGTAATTAAATATTGGCCCTCATTAAAGATATTCAATTTATTCTATTTATTTAGTTTATTTAATTCGAGCCTTGGCAAATCCAGGTATCAATTTAATATTTAATTTATTTAATTTATTTAATTCATTTAATTAATTGAATGAATTAAATAAATTAAATAAATTAAATATTTTTAATAAGGGCGAATATTTAATTTATTTAATTAATTAAATGAATTAAATAAATTAAATAAATTAAATATTAAATTGATACCTGAATTTGCCAAGGCTCGAATTAAATAAATTAAATAAATTAAATATTTTTAATAAGGGCGAATATTTAAGTTATTTAATTAATTAAATGAATTAAATAAATTAAATAAATTAAATAAATTAAATATTAAATTGATACCTGAATTTGCCAAGGCTCGAATTAAATAAATTAAATAAATTAAATAAATTAAATATTTTTAATAAGGGCGAATATTTAATTTATTTAATTAATTAAATGAATTAAATAAATTAAATAAATTAAATAAATTAAATATTAAATTGATACCTGAATTTGCCAAGGCTCGAATTAAATAAATTAAATAAATTAAATATTTTTAATAAGGACGAATATTTAATTTTTTCATTAATTAAATGAATTAAATAAATTGAATAAATTAAATATTTTTAATAAGGGCGAATATTTAACTATTTAATTTATTAAATGAATTAAACAAATTAAATACATTAAATATTAATTAATACCTGAATTTGCTAAGGCTCGAATTAAATAAATTAATAAATTAAATATTTTTAATAAGGGCGGATATTTAAATAAGGGCGAATATTTAATTTATTTAATAGTTAATTAATTAACTATAAATATATATATTTCTATTTTATTGGTGTAGATTCATACTAAGAGTCAATAATCGCATTATACTGATTATTCCCTCGTACCCCCCCCCCCCTGGATCACATCCCCCCTGCGCCGGTTCACGCCGTCGTGGACTTCTACCAGGGTTACTTGTGATTGCCTGCTACCTTTCGTTCACCCGCTCCTCTCTCAAGTTTTCATGGTTTCGTGAACCGACCACAAGAAGCTAATACAGCTGCGTATGTAATAGGAAGGCCAATCTCACAGCCAAGCACGGCGGATAACATATAGAAGGTGAACAATATAATTCCTGAGAGTGCCAACAAGAAGTGCGAAGAGCAGATTGCATTTTAGAGCCTGTCATGCGCTTCCATCTTCCAAATCGCCTGTTAGGGTGGGGATCACTCGAAGTAAAGTAATTTTGTTTTGTAATGGTGTTTTTTGGAGCCCCTGGGTGTTAGGGATGATATCGCCTTGTGTGTGTGTTCTTTTTTCCCCGGACCTCCCCGAACCGTCTTCAGGAAAGAACCGACGGCGGGCAGATGTTGTTCAGACAAGTACTCATTCCCGAATGTCTTCCGGAAATCTTCCGAGGTCCGGTGAAACATAATACAACGCCAGATGCGGCCCACATGGTCTCATACAGAGGACCCCTATAATAGATCGAGTTTGCGCGGTTCCAACATGAATCGAACCACAGGGCGCTTGGGCCCCATCCACAGGCCCTTGGGCACCATCCGGCCTGCTCACGCACCATTGAGGTGACTCTATCGAAGTATGAGGTTGGGCCCGGCAGCTACATGGCCAGTGATGGCAGAACTCGAAATCTCAGTGATCACCTGATGATCGCAGCTGATGTTTGCTTGCAACCTGATGCTGCTTAGGCTGTGAAAAGGCTAAGTTGGCTCAGCCTTGTAGGTAGAATCCAGGCCCACCAGGTTAGGCCAAAAACACCTGGTTTTCAGTGGAGTTTCGCCACTCGCGTTGCTTGGGGATGAAGTTCATGACCTATCACATCTTGTCACTGTGGCAGTTGGTCAGCTGATTGGCCCAACCTGAATCCGATGTGCAGATGATGACGTGGGCAGTCCCTTGCATCCATAAAAGGGTCAGACAGGTTGCAGTTAAGTGGAGGTTCACTAGCTCAGCCACATGGCTGGCTGCAGAACCCGCTTATTCGGACCAAAGGCGTTCTTCGGCTGTACAGATCCTGAAGATGCTCTTCTCAAAAGGACCTGCGATGAACTCTTTTCTCCGGACGCCGCCAGCTTTATCCCCTTTATCATAGATAATTCAGCATATCTTATTCATTATATATACATCATAATTATATATATATATATTATATATAATATACATTATTATTTGTTGTATACTATTACTATCAATCAAAAAAGGCGCTTCCGCCAGTCGCTACTCTAATATTTAAAGTTTAGTAGCTCCTTTAATAAGCTGCCAACCTGTCCGAGTGAGTCGCGCCGTGTGAGTCGCGCCCCATGCCGCGTGGCACGTGTGACCCGCCGCCGCGCGACGGTCGAGTGGCTCAAGCTCCTGCGAAGCTCCGGGACCTGAAGCGGCCCTGGATGATGCTGGAGTGCCCTGGACGAGATGGGCGATTTTTTGGCATTGGGGGCGTGGCGGAGATGGAAGCGACATAAGATACACTTAATGATATCAGTTTGTTTTTTGGTGTTGAGGTTGGGCGTATAGAATTGGTTCAAGATGTTATGGATGGCATGCACTCGGCTTGCCATCCAGCGAGACTTCGATGCCAATTCGGAACGAGGAACGTCACCAGTTCGGTTGACCAGCTTCGACCCCGGGCAGGGGAACTGGGGCTTCAGAGAAGGCAACAAGGCCTAAGAACGTGCTTCAAACAAGTTGACAAGGGCATGTGATTCACGGTGATACAAGAGCTATCTTAAAGTGTAATTAAAATTTGTAAGTCATGCATGTCACTAAGTTGACAATAGATTGATCCTTTCCCTTTGGCCAAAAAGAGATATCCTTTCCCTTTGCTTTGAGAACCATTTAGAGTAATACATCACTACACCTGGTATGTGATTTCGATTGTGTAAGATTCGAATCACACCAGTCCTACATCTTAGGATTGGTTTTAACTGCAAATTCCTGCTTCTCCGAGGCTAAGGGATCGTGTGGCTTGGAGCAGAGGCAGCATCGGGTCGACCTCGACCGCTGCGGCACCGGCCGTGTGAAGCGAAGGATGTGTTCCGATAGCAGGACCCTCCTGTCGGGGTGCCCTGTCTGGAAGCCTAGGCCGGTAGTGTGTCCAGCCAGGACACCCCGAGGGTCGGAGGGTCCAGGTATGTTGTGTATGTTTGTTTGGTCGTTCTTGGTCGGTTTTATAGGGCAGTCCGATGGAAAGATGGAAAGACAGTCCGAAGCAGCGGACATCCAAATATTATACGGCTGCTCGTGTTGACTTATGGACTTGACGTTTTGCACTGACGTGGTTTCCATTGAAACCGCCCCACAGAACTTTCAGATCTGGCCAGCTACTTGATGCCCAGCTACTCCTCATCCGTTTTCGACTCACCGGCGCAAGATATGCTCATCCTGAAAAGATTCTGTTTGAGCTCCGCTTCCAACTCAACCCTCACAGTTTTCGCAAGGCTTGACCAGTTCCATTTCCAAAGGATTTGCATATTAAATTCATGAGGAGTTGATGCAGATCTGAGACATGGCAAATGGCAAGAAGCCAAGGCCAGGGATGGGAGTTCTTGGTGTTTTCACCATCAATGATCTGAGTCTGCGGATGTCCCTGGACATTCTCTGGGTGAAGGATTTGGAGACGTTCTCCAGCCGCCTCACGAACTGCGCCTCACGTTGCAGTACTTACTGGCGCCACTTCGGAGCACATGCAGTTCCTACCCTGGGAGGGTAGCAGTGTCAACGTCAGACTCTGGCATTCGGACGCAATGTGGAGGAGCAAGTTGCGGACGATGAGGATGCAAACGTAGAACAGAAGTAGGTGATTCTGACCAACCTTGCAGTTGGGAGATGGCAGGTCCAGGACCAGGACCATATCAAAGAAGTCACTCGCCGGTTTGCTGCTCAGAAGATGCATGCAAGCCCAGCATCTCTCTAGCGCCAAAGAGAGGCCCGCTGCAGCTATGCAAGCAGGCTGTCGAGGCTGTCGAGAGTTCATCGGAAGCATCGGATCTTCAGCTTCTGGATAGATAGCGTCACGTTTGTGGAAAAGAGGGGCAGACGCATGCACAAACTCTGGTGTTTGCAAAGCAGACCGCCTTTTCCTGTTTCACTGAACTGTCTCTACCTCAGCTTAAAGAGAAACTGTGGGCCACTTGCCTTACAAAACCCATGGTGCGTAATGATGCTGCTTTACTTTAGCCCCTTGCTTTCGCCCCGCGTCGTGCTCAAGACACCAAAAGGACACCTGTCTGCCGCTTGAGCAGTCTCTTTTCAAGCAGCCTCTTGCAGCAAGACCAGCAAGACCCTATATAAGCTCTGCGGACACGGAATGCGGACGCCCTGCCGAAGCAAGCAGCGAGCTGAGCCTTGGCTACCGGAGAAACACGGCGGAAGATCGCAGTTCCTTTGTGTGTCCAGAACAAAGCGAAAGGAGTTCAACCTCAGACCTCAACTGGACCATGGACATGAAAACCAAGCAAAATGGGTCTATTCTGGTGAACAGGAAGACTCTTCCGATCGCCCCAAGGGTCATGATCTTCTAATTGGCCCTTCACCTGGAAGCTATACTAGGTCGAACTCGTGGGGGTTTCCTTCGCTCCCGAGGATGATGAAGGCGAACTCGCCCCCCCGCGGAGTTCGCCAGGCTATGTGCACCTCATGCAGGACTCGCAACCGCCGAGCCCCCGTGAGACCCACCAGGCACGGCCAACGCCGGCACAGGGCGAGGGGTATCGAAAACTGGCATGGTGGCACAGAGGGTGGCGGCTTTTGCATGCTTTTGCATTGAAGAATTCGTGATCATTGGAGGGCACATGAGGGCCTTACCTGTTGGGGTCTTCGGTTCAACTCGGGGGTCGTCCGAGTCTTTCAGGGTGCCATGCCACATCATGCCACCCATAGGGTCCAGGTACCTCCTGAGGATGGTCGCACGACGGCGCCGAAGGACGTCCAATTCGGATGGTCATGGAATGTCATGGACCCTTATATGGCCTTAGGGAGAGTCAGTTTTCCACCGAGGTCAGGGGATGTACGAGTTAAAGTTCAATCTCGGAAGAAGGTGAGTGCGACTTAGTCAGTGCAGGCACAGTGTATTGATCTGATTGCCCTTTGATCATCTTTGATCCATCAACCCCAGAATGCTGTGAATCCCTACCAATTCCCCAAACACACCTCCCATGACCGCGCTTGATCAATCTTGATGCACGCCGCTTCTCACCGCCTCATCAGCCTTTCTCCCCCCAAAAGCATCTTCTCGTCCGTCCTTCCACCTTTCGCGAAAAAGAACGCCCGAACATGTCGACCGCGGTTTTCCCCAACGGTCGACCAGCGACGTGCCCCAACGGTCGGTCGTCGGCCGGCGAGATCAGGTGCACCGGCCTTCCTGCGGACGCTTTCAGGGCTTCGTCACCATCTTGGTGGCCCTGCTGCTCTTAGGTATCGGTAGGACCGCCTGGGAGCTGCTGCTGGGAGGATCCAAGATTGGTGGCGAATGGGCGGCTGGGTGCGGAGCGTGAAGTGGGTGAAGTGGTGGGAATGGCAGGCTGAAGAATGGTGCCTTGAAATGGGACAAGGCCATACAAGGCCAGGATGAAGATGAGGCTGCAAAATCGCCATTTGGGCAGCGGAATCAACCAAGAACTCAAGATGTTGTGCATGTTGGTTTCCATTTCAACGATCTCTAAACAAACTGATGTCTCCAGTGGTACCTAAAAATGTGCTTCCGCTCTTGGGTTGGGGTAAATGCTGCCGAGTTCCCGTCTTCCATCTTCATGTGGATTTGGACTGTGGACCCTTCGCACCGTCGCGTCCCGGACCGCCCGGACGTGGGGCGTGTGGGACGTGGTGAGTGGCCCAAAAGCTGAAGCACCGCTGGTGGAACCAGCCTTTTGCCTGGTGCATGTTTAGACATGTTTAAGCACTATCACTGGACCATCTGGACCCCCCATTGGGTGGGTCAAGCACTCGGAGCTCAAGAACATCCCTCTTATTGGATGGGTGCAAGAACCTTTCCTATTGGAACTGAGGTTAAGACGTTATATCAACTGCATGGATGGTTAACATGGTTAATAAGCTTATTATTATATATTAATATATTATGATGATTATATACCGTGGATGGTCAATGTGGATAGTATATGGTTTAATGGATTTGGCCCAACCCCCCTCTCGGACTTGCCCGAGTGACGACGGCAACGTGACACCGCGAGAGGTTGCTCATCGCAGCGCAGGATACCTCACGGCCGACACCTTCGGGGCTCCCAAGGTGTCGCTTTCCGTTTCGGTTTGGTCCAACGTGGCTTGGGTGGTGGAAGCCGAGAGAGGCAGAGATGGGTTTGCAAGCTGCAGTCTCTTATCCCTCGGCACCAACAAGCAGGTTCATATCACAGATACCCAGAGACTGGTACTGCAATGGGAATATCAGGCGTCGCGCCTTCTTCATTCATACCACCTCCATTGATCTGCAAATGTGTGATGTTTGGGCATCCGGTCATCTTGGACAGGTCTTCATGTCGCTCCACGGCCGAGAGTATCTCCGCCAAGTGGCACCGCACGGAAAACTGCTGAGTCCCTTTAAAAACTCCACTGAAGCAGTGGCCAGCATGCAGACCACATGGCATGCTCCTGGGTTCTTGCTGCTTTTCATGAAATTGACCAAGTGTGAGTGTATTCTTCATGTCATGCCAGGCTTGTTTTTGGAGGATTGTTTCTCCAAACAGCCAGGTTCCTATATGTAAACGATCTGAATTAACAAATTGGAACACCAAGGCCCTAGGGCTGGTCCACATCCTGAGATGGAATGGACCCCCCAACCCGCCTCAGCAATCCGCAGGCGCCGCCCAGTGGAGGCGCGGGGAACCGGGGTGGTGTCCAGGCCTGGTTCCGGGGTCCCGGTCGTATCCTCCAAAGAAGATCTCCTTGGATCCTCCCAAGCCACCCCAGTTCCACCCTCTCTTGGTACTTGGAGCCCTTTTTTCGGATGTTTTGGGTGCGATCCTTCCATCTAGAGAGACAGGGGAGACATGCGCATGTCTTTGATCGCGCTAGCGATTCTCGGTCAGAAGGCCGCCAGGGCTTTCTGGGTTCCTAGATGCGGGGCGGCGCATTTTGGGCCATTTCCTCAGTGAAGGAATGCATGTTGCATGCTTCCAAGAGAGGTTTTTCACAGCCCGTCCTGTCGCCCATCCCATATGTACCACAGACCAGGGTCCGAACGTTCAGGTCTCTCAACCTCTGGATGTTCCCTATGGATCCACTGCCACCGTACCTCAGAAAGTATGGCGCCTTCATAAATAGTCTCCTTCCTCACCGTACCGAAGAGGTATGCGGTATGTGGATCTAGGACGGACTAGCTAAGCAGCTTCGCCGGAGTAAAGGAATCGACCAATGAACCGAGAGAAACATGTCACCGACTTCGAAAAAGCACTTTTGCACTTGGTCCCTTTGCAGGGAGCAAGGTTCCTTTGATCAGTGATGGTTTGTCCAACCCGATTAGGGATATTGTTTTCAAGCGTGGTTTGGGAGGAGTACAATACACTCAATTACCCTCCATCCAACAAGCATGGAAGTGGAACACGGCCCCGAAAGGAAGAGTGAATTCCTCTATGAACAGGCTGTATTCCACTTCCATGATATGATTTGTTTTCTCATTTATGGTCTAGACCTAAGCAAACACAATGCTTTCCACTGACTGCATGGCTCATAGTATCTTGCAGCCTGGCCTTTGTTGCTCCCTTTCATTATGTTGAGCTGCGGCTGTTTCCGTCAATGTTGTCAACTTTGATCGAGAGCGGGATCCACCAGGAACAGCCTTGGTCGACTGTCCAAGACCATTCAACTATCCATATTGTACGGATTCTGGATCAACCAATCCTTCTTTAATTTTGATGTGCGCAGTTTCCGGGACAGTGACAAGCACAGCTGTCCTCTTGTCACAGAGCTGGGACAGTTTTGATCAAGTTCCCAGAAAGACGTTATTTTACAGCACAAATCTTCGTGCTGGGCAGGGAAATCGCATTGTTTGTGTGTGTGATTTCTTTTGAGAAAAAAAAACACTTTTAGTCAAACCCTAGGGATCCAAGTACCTTCTCAGAAGGCACTTGGACCCTCCACAGCCACCCCAAACACCTTCTGAGAAGGTACGACTGGATCCCTAGGGAAAAGGATCTTAACCTTTGGCAAACACATGTTCAACCCTTGGACTGAGAAACTGTTTTTTCCCAAGAACGCAAACCAAGAGAGGCTGAACCAGACCTGAACCAGGACTGTTACCGTGTCCTACACATGGAATTCGCTTAGGCAGTTCAACCTGTCGAAACTGACCAGTTCACTCAGGGTGCCTTGCCTGTAAGAGAGGAAGTGTCGTGTCTCCGGTTCCGACGGCCTTTCCGGTCCGACCCCCGAGGTCGGGAACTCCTGGTCGGTCTCAGCTGCAAAGTGTGTTTGGTTTACACCTGGTTTTTTTTCAGGAGGCTTTTGGGTTTACCCCACTCAAATCCAGGTGGAACGTGCACTTCACCCGGATTTCCCAGAAACACCTCAAAGGGCTCCAGAGGGGGGAGGCGAACCGAGAAGCCCATTCTGCCCCACGCCTTCACCTCAGGTTCGCACGTCTTCCCGTCCCCATCTGACCACGCCATGCAGCATTCGCCACGCACGTCAGGCGCTGGGTCGAATCCGCGTACCTGCAAGGACCACAGCGACGTCGGGTGAAGAGAGCGGAGTGGCATGGAGTGGCTGTTGATACCCGGGGGCACTCCCCAGGTTTGGAAATGAGTGAAGTCTTGAGATAGACAATTCAGATCTTCCAACTGTGAATGTTTGCCTTTGCATCTAAAACAGTTAATTAGTAGGCAGACCTTTTGTTCAGGACTTGGATGGGTCTCATTATGTCTCAGCCAAGCTGTTAGCTGTTGCCATCTCCCAAAAGGGTAAACCCTCGCTTTGGACCGTTTGGACCGGCAAAAGAACGAACGCATCGAAGAAGGTCCATCACGAGTTCCTTCAGTTCCATCCTGAAAGCCCTGGGAGTCAAAGACCATAAAAAGAATGGTCTTTAGGGGACCTGAAAGGGAACTTCCTTTACTTCAGCCGGTCAAAATAATATATAGTCTTTGGACTTCCAGGGAAAGCTTTTGAAACTTTGCAAGGATGGAAATTTACAGCGTGTGTACCAGGGGACGTCAAGGAATTACAACTTGTTTGGACCTTTTTTTGGGTGCTTAATGGACACATTACCACCAATTGGCTTCAGTTTTGTTTTTAAAGAATCATTTGCATTACAATCAGAATCAAAGAATCAAAGAGAGCTGCTATCATTGCACGCTTATGCACGCAAGTTTCCCACTGAACGAAGAATGCTCAAAACCGATCCAAACGCAGTTCACCGTTTCAACGGAATTAGCCCCTCCTCGTGTAGGAGCCTCGTTGCCCAATGCTCAAGACCAAAGTTCCGGGAACACGTTTGGATCGATACCGAGCTCGGTGGTTTGAAGTCAACAGCCAACACGTCTTTGCACTTGTGCGTCAGACTCAGACCTTGAGTTTGTTTTTTTGCAAATGGATGATACATCACCTTGAACAGAATTGATATCGAACTCATCTGTAGGGATAACATGAGGAGTTTCAGTCCAATTTGTCCCCACCAGTGAAAGAGTTTTGCCGTCCCAGATCCCACCACCCGATGCGCTGCCTTTTTTCTCGCGATCGCTTTCAGAGAATGCCAGGAGCACTTAAGCAAGACTGCATGCAGCGTTGCCTATTTCCCCTTTCAGTGGCTTTGATCGACTGTTTCGACTCCTAATCCCCTGTAGTCAATCTTTTCACCGGTTTCGACTCCATGGAAAAAAGTGTTTACCCTCATCGACTCCTAATCCCCAAGCCTTCCTGCAGAACCGTGCAGACGTTCAGCAGACGCCTCAAACATCATTTCGGGACAAACCAATTCAACGAACAACTCAGGAAAGCCTTCCCGCCCCACATGAATGCCTCCTTCTGCGCTTCATCGGCCCGTACCCCGAACCGTACCACGGTCGGGACGGAAGACCGGTCGTCCGGGTCGTCGCGTCTGTGCGCCCAGGACAGGTCGCCGGTGAGCTGCCGAAGAATTGGACCACGAAGTCTGTGGTGCCTTGGAAGCCTGAGGAAGCCTGAGCTGCCTAGGCAGGCTTGGACCTTCGCTTAAGCTGTGGTTTCAGTGTTTTCAGGCTAGCTCAAGAGGACAGTATACAAAATGACCAGTAAAATGAACACAAATTACCTATAGAATATTATAGAAACCCCATTTGACCTTTGTTTTTGGCCATATTTTGGAGAGTTGATCCTCCAAAAGAGGGATCACTCGGGTTCTAGGGGGAGACATATAGACCTCAGTTGTCACTTTTTTCAGGAACTCCAGCGATTCGAGGGATTTAGTCTTTGGAATCACTGGTTAGGTACTATATAGTACAGTGGCAACTGGATCTTCTGGGGTATATAAAGCTGCCTGTGAATCAAAAGACAGGACAAAAAGACCACAGCCAGATTTTCTGTGATCGTCACTTTTTTGGATTGTTTGACCATTTCACGTGCATGACAGTTCTTGTGCGCTCTTTTTGTTTGAAGCACGCTTTTCAGTGGTTGGTGATGGTAGACTGACCTGCCCGTCATTTACCTTCAATTTCTGCTTGGTTCCAACCCTTTTCACCCTTTTTGTTCCTGTTTCAGCTGTTTCAGGGAGATGACCGCACGGAGAGTTCCCAGAGTTCCAAGCTGAGCGTCCCAAGGATGGTGTGCCCGTCTTCCAGAATTCGACCCAGGCGGCCGTTGGGCCGGGGTTCGACCCCAACAGCGGCCAAACCCAGGGATTTGGAAGACCGACTACCTCCCAAAAACAAGGGCCATTTGGGCCATTTGGGCCATCTTTGCAGGTCTTAAGGCGCGGACCTGAGTGAAACACCATTTTTTGAGATTTAACCATGTTACCCAGATACTCCATGTATGGTATATTTACCTACATTGGGGTGGTTTTGGGGGTCAATGTAGGCATATATGCCATACATGGAGTGTCTGGGTTATATCATTTTCGGGGCATCGAGGATCTCAGCGTGGCTGCGCCCGTTCTCTTCCTTTGGGAAGGGAAGGTCTTTCGGCCGGACTCGCAATTCTTGAAACCCATTCCGTCATGTTGAGTGGTGAAACCCATTTCGTGAAGCACGGCTGCCGGTGGTTCTTTGCTATTTTTTGTCATTTCCAAAGGGGAGCCTGTCAAGTATCCATGCAGTGTTGACTAAGTTGAACCAACAAAAACAACTGAACACGCACCAATGTACTCGTTGCCCATGTTCCCACAACTTTTTAGCTGGGTACCTCAGCTTCTCTCATGATCCATCCCAGACGCGACCAATGGGGCTGCATGTCTATGGCCCACGCACCTGAATCAAGTTCCAGGTGCTTGGGGAGGATTAAGCGTCTTTCCAGCTCTATCAGTCAGTCACCCTAAACTCCCTGGACCCCTCCGTGCAAACAACCGAGTTAGGACTCACTCCCTTCGGCCGTGTGGACTCAACGGCCGCAGAACGGCCGTTCACGGCACAGGCCCCCACTCGGGCGTGGCTGGTGAAGGTGTGGACCCACGAGGAGCCGCACCAGACGAGTACCCGTCCCCAGCCGTCCCGGACCGCGTCGAGAAGTTGCACGGAGAACCCCGTGGAGTTGGACCGGTTTGGAAGGCCGGAGTTGGAAGGCCATGGCCCGAACAGGCTTCCAACCACCTGAAGAGGTTGAACACCGAAGCACCATTGTTTGACGATCTTGGAAGTCTAGGGTGGGTGAAGCGATGGAGTTTCTGAAAGCCCAAAGGGTAGACTGGGAATTCATGAAGATTATGAAGGCCGCGGTGGGCGGTGACTCCAGAAGATTCCCTCGTAGGAAAAGAAGAACTCTATTGAAGCCAGGGAGGATGTGTACACATCATATACCCAAACTTCAGGACCGGATCATCCCAGATCCAAAAAAAGCATTAAAAATATATATGTGGCAATGCCTTGGCTTTTAGTTTTTTAGCTTTTTGGACTGGTGAGCAGTTGGCAGTCACTGACTACTCGGGACCTCCATGTTTCCGCATCGTTCAGGAGCTCTCCTGGCAGCAACATGTCAATCCCAAGGACTGATGGGTCTGGGTGAGTGTTCTCACCAATCCCTAGGCGCCGGTCGGACGGTGAACTGAGCCTCTGGTGGGAAGGAAACATGGATCACCTGCAGGTTACCCAAGCATTTCGGACGCCTTGACAGTGATGTGTTCCCAACGACCTACGTACCCCGACGGTTCTTTTTGGGGGCCGGGTGCATGGGATTGCAGTGGTGCATTCGGCCGTATACGCAGGAAAAGTGGATAAGCCTGGAACACCTCGATTGGGGGGGGTTTACTGACGACATAGTGAGATGAAAGTTGGATGAACACTCCATGTATGGCACACATACCATTTGGGGTATCCGCGGGGTGCTTGAATTTCGGGGTCTTTCTGGGGCGGCCTATGAGCTCCAGTCCCGAGTTCCAGGCATCAAAAACGGCTTTTCCGGGGGTCCGACTCCAGAATAATTATCTGTAAAAGAATTCACAGTTCACCGATTCGTCCCCCTCTGTACCGAACATATGATCTTGTTTTTTTGAACAATCTCAGCATGCAAGATCATCCGCGCCACCAAAAAAAGAAGAGAGTGGCCTTCGGGGTGAAAATGCACAAGGCTCGACGCGCCACCAGCGATGTTCTCCAAAGACGTCCTCCAGATCCGCTGTGACTCCTCTTGTGATGGCTGGCCACGCGAATTCGATCCAGAGACGGTCCGTCTGCTCACTGTGTCGATACGAACGCTCCGATCTCGGCTCCAGGATGATTACCACCGGCTGGAATCGGTTCTCCATGTGGCGCGCAATCTCAGCTTAGAGGCGAAATCCATGATCAGGGCTTCGGAGTGACCAATTGGTTACTTGAACTTGTGGCAGCTTTGAAGAGCTAGTGAGAAGTGGCGGGGATTAAGGACCAATTCTTAGTCAAAAAACACTGAAGTCGCGTAAATCGTGTCGACATGTGTTGAACATGAATGTTCTATTTTTTGTTCTTGGAGCACGTACCCTAGTACAACACGTGCGTTTTGTAATCTTGTTATGCAACGTGGTGTGCGTCGCATACAGGATAACTTCTTCGAGATAAAAGGGAAAGAACCCCACGCCCAAACGAATGCAGCAAGACCCAATTTGAAACAGAGAACCTTCAGGTAGCAGTTTGGTGACATGTCTTGAAACAACGCCACTGTGCTGTAGAAAGGAGCATGCACAGTATGATGTAATTTGGATTTGTCGTCATATTCCCGATGTCAAGTCGAAACCATTGCCTCTTCAGCATAACTCGATCTCCGGTCGTACTGGGGCACCGGCAACAGGTGCTTTTCCATGGACACCGTGGGGGTCTTCCCATGTTGGCCGCACGCGCCAGTAGCCAGCAACTCCAGGTGGCTGAAACGTGGACCACTTTGGATGGTGAGAACGTGCCGGATGTTCGGGTAGAATAAGAAGCTGCTGAGCTGGGGTGGAATCATGTGGAATCCTACCAATTTAAAGGATCGAGAGATCATGAGACGATGAGAGATCTCTTTGATGGAGACCCCTTGTTTGCAGGGTCCATGTATGTCCCTTTCCCTTTCCAACTCGACACCGGACCACCTGAGCTTCTTCCCCATCAAACGTGACCCGCTCCTGATTCGGTGTCTTTCCGCGCATGACACCTGGCCCCCCCCCACATGATCACCCGTGCACACCGTGCCCCGTGACAGCAGTGGTCGTGAACGACGGGTGCGTCGTTGGGTGCGTGAGAGGAGAGAGACTGAAGATGGCACTCTAAGTACTCTAAGGCCAAGGTGGACAGCTTGGCAGGGGAGCTTTCCCCCGCAAGAAAAGCAGCTGCTGCGTACGTACCTCGGAGAATGGGTACAGATCTAAACCTGCTTTGTTTACAGGGTCATGGGTACTTCGGAGAATCCGGTATAGTCCAAAAAGTTTGAAGACTCGCTTCCGTCATTTCGGGGTCAAGGATCGACATCCTCGTTAAGTCCACTGTTTACGTGACTGTAGTCGTTTCAGTGAGTTGATCAAATGTTCATTCGATGTTTGTGTTCCTGCAACTCTTTGTGCCTCTGAATTGTCTCCTTGCTGTCCAGGCGCTTCTGCGGTCATTGTGCACGGCATTCTCCATCATTCGCAGCCCCCAAACTGGTCCCTTCGCAAGCAGCGCGGTTGCTGCCAGGCGTTGCTGAACAGGACCAAGGACTTGGTTCAGTTTGTAGAGGAAGACACGGCCCCTTGGAGAAAAGGAAAGGCGGAAAGACCTCAATGCGTCTACAGAGATCTTCAACCGGGAAAACACAAACGACAATGGTGGGAGTAGGACCATTCCAATCATTCCAGATCATCTCAACATATTATTTCTAGTACACTGCACAAATCAAGGGCGAGCATCCCGGCTTGTACCGGAGTGGATCAATTTTTGAGGGGGCTTGTTTGTCAAGTCGAAGTGTAGCAGGCTTAGATTCTTCGCTCCAGGGATGAGCATGCCAGGTCAGCATCCCTGGCGCCCATAATCCACGGTGTATTGCTGGGTCAGTGGCTCTGATCAGACTTGCTTCGACGACGATGAACGATGCACGGAGCCGATGTTTGGCCCACAGCGGCCCAGGAGGCGCGCCAGGTGTGTCGTCTTGTCCGTTGTTGTTTTCCTCTTAAAGGATTCACATCTGGACTGAACTTGCGCCCTGCATGCGCCCAGATGCATTTTAAAGCTTTGGTTCACCTACCATTGTCATCCGTTTGTCCAGGGTGGTCATCAACAGCCTTTGGATGTTTTTGGTAGTGGAACTAAATAAGCCACCTCCTCATCATCCCCCCAAAAGGTCATTTTACAGTCTCCGACTATTTTGGTGCAAAGGCTCAATTCGCTCATTTAAGAATCAAGTTATGTCCACTGTAATTTAGAGTGATCCATCTTAAGGCTAGTCTTCCATGATATTCCATATATTCCGTGTATTTCCCCGATCTTCTCCCATGTTCTCCCGTATACGTCTCACCAAACCAACCCGTTCTCCCAACGTCTCTCGATGCTGTTCCCGAAACCCGCTCGGCGTGGGAGCGCCTAGGCTCTTCAAGCCACGGGGAAGTCCCGAGGGGCAGCGGAGGACGGAGGGAAGTGATCCACTTCAGCCAGGGAGGAAGCCACGCTGAGTCAGAAAGCCCAGCAGTCACGGAGGTAGGAGTTGGGGTGCGATCCATGGAGGTAGGAGTTGGGGTGTCACCTCCACATCCATAGCCGGATGGGACGAGCCACACCACCCGGGCCTCCATACTGACTGCTGGGAGTTCCCCCCTTACTTGTGGAAGAAGGGTGATTTCGTTGTTTCTCCACGGAAGACGTGAAGAGGCGGACGGTTTTTGGTCGTCTTCGTATTTCGGGTCACGACACCCGCGGGAACAGCGGGAACAGCGTGAATCGGCGGAACAAAACACAGCGGTGGTGGTGACCAGGGGGAATGAAAGATGGTGACCAGTGAGGTGTCGGTTGTACCTTCCAAACAGTGGTGGCTGGTCTCTTCCTTCAATTCATGTTGGCTTCTAAACATGGCCCCTATAAGGCTCCATGACCATCCGAATCGGACGTCGGCACCTGGAGGTATTCCGAATCGGTGTTCCGAACGACCAGTCCACGTCGTTCGTTCGACCCGTGCGGCGCGGTCACAGCGAACGGTTCGCCGGATCGGGGTGTTGCCGTTTCGATGTTCCTGTGATTGTTGGTTGGGTTCGAGTGGGCGAACTCGGAGCGGGATTGTTCGATTTCAATTCCACATCCGGTCAGCTGGACGCCTGCTGGAAGGGACTATAAGGGAACGGTTTCAATTCCGCCACCATTTTTGTTCGCATCTCCATGCAGCAGATGCAGATTTGAGATCATTTAAGGGTACCGGGTATATTATAAAGGCATTGTTTGATCGAGATTTGCGAGATGCCCCGTTTTCTTTTCAGACAGCCAAGAACCGGTGGACTGGTGTTGGAATTAAAAGGATCTTTTTCAGGCGTTATTTCCCTAGGGCTCCAACCCCATATCACCTCAGGTTAGACCCCACACACCCACCATAACCATCTTCTCAAGAGGTAGGCCAGGATTCCTAGGGTTTGTGGTTTTTTGTTGTGTGACTTGTGTTGTTTGGGTGTTTAGTGGAAATCCTTCAGCCGGCCCTTGGCGTGTCATGAGTGGATCATTTTGGCTTCAGCGTCGATCATGTCGGAAACTCCAAAGACGTGGAACTGCAACTTGTTGACAACCCCAGAGCATCCGTGTATGGAATATGTTATTTACAGCCTTCGGCATGCCGCCGGCCACCAGCTCGAGCCCGCATTGGCAGGCAGCTTAATGATACAATACCCTGCTCAATCATACTTGTTGGATCAGGGATGGTATTTAGCCTACAGAATGGGGGGGGTTAACCCCCCTACAGAATGCTCATTTAGTAGTAAAGGGGTTTGGACGTACGACCCCTGTGGTTGGGATGCCACCATTTTGTAGGCAGCAAGAGGGTTGGGTGTACTTATTTAGTAGGGAAAAGAAAGTGCACGATTTGGGGGTTGGGTGTACTTATTTGGTAGGGGAGGTCCTCATTTTGTAGGGAATCATAATGGATGGATATGGATGGTCAAAACCTATATAGTAAATTATACTAATATTATGTGATATTAAACATTCTAACTATCCTGCGTCCGTGATTGAATCTGATCTTGCATCGGCAGTTAGTGAAACGATTTGGGTGATGCTCATCGGTCGTCATTGCCTGGTTTGAAGCTTGAAGGGAATGGTCCTGCAAAGAGCCATTTGGGTTCAAAGTGGGTCTCTATGACGAAATCGAAGTGTCCGCCGGGATGGCCGAAAACATGCCAGGTACCTTGGCTCCATCAATGAAAGCACTCAAGAAAATTGTTTGAAGGTGAGGAGTGATCAGGAAAGTTCCATTGCATTCCATTGTGATAGTCATGCCACAAGGCGACAAAGACATGCATCGGCAATGTTCCACAGCCAGAGTGGGACGAGGGACGGCAGACATGGGGTTCCCTGGCAGACATGAAGAAGATTGAAGAAGTGCTTGTTGATTTGTTGCTTTGCGTTTGACGCAAGAAGAACATAGAAGAACTAAGTCACGAGATGTGACGTGGTGTCGGCTACCGGGAGAAAATCCCATCACCACGTCTTCTGGAGTCAGACTCTTGTTTGCACCGGATGGAAGCTGTTGCCCGAGGGAAGCTGTGGTAATTGATGGTAATCACGATCACGAAAGGATTGTCTCTCACACTTTGGCCGCAGAATCCAGTCTGGGATGAATCTACAGGAGAATTGAAGATGAAGAATTTGCCAGAAGGGAAAGGCATCACCGCCAAAGAGATCATCAATCGCAGTCCAGCTTTCATGGAGACTTTCTTTTGGAAGACCAAGTCGCCGATGGAGTATGGCAAATCTGTCTACTCGCTCTTCCAAAAGGCAAGGAAGGACTTGCAGAATGCCAAGTCCCGCCAGCCGTTCCTAAGACTCCTGGCAGACATTTGCAAAGCAACTCTGCCTTCTTTGTAGAGTCTGTTCGCTCGCTGATTCAATAAGAATCGCATCAGAAGCCATGGGGTTGGCTTTGTGGGGAGTACAGCCATTTGACAGGCGTCCAAAAGCGCGTCAAAAAAGACAGTCTTGAATGTCTTGACATGTCTTGATTGTTCTTGGTTTTTCTTGATAATTTTCATGCGCATTTATCTTTGCTGCAGAATGAGTAGCCCATTCCCGGGCGCGTACCATTTTGTAGCAATTTGTGACCTTGGCCCCCTTCATTTTGTATAATTGGCCTATCCCCTCCCTACAAAATGAGTCCAAATTTTTTGGAGTCCTTTTGTAGGGATGGGACGTTGGTCGCTGTCATTTTGTAGTGATTTTCACTACCAAATAGGGACCCCGACCCCTCACCCCAAATATCAAGGGGGATCTTGTTGGTGCATTGGAGGTGCACATTTGGCTGGGTGAGTTTGTTGATGTTTATTTCAAGGTTGTTTGACCATGAAATGGAACGAATCCGAATCAGAGGTTGTCTATTCTGATCCAGC